AAGTACCACGTCTAGGATGCGAGCCCTCAGCCGCAAACCCTGAAGTCCGAAACCCCCCAGAAAGCGCAAAGCGCGCACACATTTAGGGTTTAGGGTTTAGGGTTTTAGGGTCTAGGGTTTTAGGGTCTAGGGTTTTAGGGTTCAGGGCTTATGAGCTCAAGGTATATCACCCGTGGTTGAGGAAAATTGGAGATCTGATTTTGAGTGCAGCCGAGCCCAGGCCCGACACAGATAAACCCTAAACTCCTAAACCCTCAATCATAAACCCCTAAACCCTAAACCAAAAAAACCTAAACCCCTAAACTCTAAACCAACAACTCCTAAACCCAATGAACCCAGAACCCTAAGCCAAAAACTGCTAAACCCTTAAGCCCAAAACCCTGAACCCAAAAACTCTAAACCCGAAGCCCTAAACCGTTAGACTGCCCCTAAACCCTAAACCCTAAACCCTAAACCCTAAACCCTAAACCCTGAACCCCAGGCCTGAAGCCAGCCCCAAACCACACGCTGCGTGGTGTAGGGGATGGAGCCTCCTCCAGCCTTCGAGCAGAAAGCACCAATAAAGAAGGGTTTAGGGTTTAGGGGTTTAGGGGTTTAGGGTTTAGGGCTTAGGGCTTAGGGTTGAGGGTTTCAGGCTTCGGGTTTAGAGTTTAGGATTTAGGTTTGCGGGCTTCGGGTTTAGCGTTTAGAGTAACACTGAATATGAACATGAAACGGATCATAGCGATAGTAATAAGTAATCACCATAAGAATACGTATAATGATACTGAGAATCATGATTGTACTGGTGCTACTAGTATGAACTAAATGTAGATGCTATAGGAGGGTGCCAGGACCAGGCATCTAACAAGCAACTTTGCGGAAGGAGATGAAGGAGTGCTAAAGCGATGCAAGGAGAAACAGAGAAGTGATGTAGTTGCACGTGGCATTGGGAATTTGCAATGTGCTCGCAAGAATGCAGATCCCGAAACCCTAAATCCCTAAGACCCTAAACCCTGAACCCTAAAGCCCAAAACCCTAAGACCCTAAACGCTAAAGCCCAAAACCCTACAACCATGCATCGCACTGGCACACTGCTTGCTTTTCTTGACGAACACCGCTTGGCCCTGCTAGGTGCTTGTCGAAACTAGGCTCCCCAGTAGCCCCTTCATAATAAGGGCACCCTTTTTCCTACTTAGGGTTTAGGGTTTAGGGTTTAGGGTTTAGGGGCTTAACAGGAGAACCCAAAAGAAAAGGGGCAAAAGGGTACTACTGGGCAACCTAGGAAAGAGAGTGCAAGGGTTTCGCTTCAATCCAAGAGTCTCGTAAAGTCTGCCACTTTCGACCTGACTCAAAAACGCCAAACTCCAACACCCTAAGCCGTCTTCAGCTACAAGTCCCCTACATAAACCACAATTCCCTGAACCCCTACTACGGTTGATGATATAAATCCTGCATTACCCATCATAAGGAATATACCCTATTCCCGTAGTTTAGGGTCCGTAAGGTAGTGCAGGATTTCTATCATCAACCGTAGTATGAACCGTAACCCCTACACCCCTAGCTACAAGTCCCCATCGGGTTCCCTATGAAGTCTACATAAACCCCAGACTCCCTAAACCCCCTATGAACCCTAAACCCTAAACCCCCTATGAATCCTAAACCCTAAATCCTATGACCCCGGCTACAAGTCCCTTCCTTCGTACTTGGAGGATCATGGGACTTAGTAAGTAAGGTTATAAGAACCCTAATTAGGGTTATAAGTGTTAATTATGGTTACAGTATTTATAACCCTAATTACTAAACCCTAAACCCTTATAATTAATTATAACTATGGTTGCCGTATTTATAACCTAGTTGCTGAGTCCCACGATCCTCCCTTCCTAAACCCTAAACCCCCTATGAACCCTAAACCCTAAACCCCCGGCTACAAGTCCCTCCCTTCCTATGACCGAGCTCGCAGCACAAGGAATGCGACGCGCGAGCTCGTCGATCTGACCCTGTCCGAAGCAACGACTCGGGTTTAGGGTTTAGGAAGTTTAGGGTTTAGGGTTTAGGGGTTTAGGGGTTTTACGGGTTTTAGGGGTTTAGGGTTTAGGAAGATTAGGGTTTAGGGTTTAGGAAGCTTAGGGTTTAGGGTTTAGAGTTTAGGGTTTAGGATCTAGGGTTTAGGGTTTAGGGCAGGGAAACCGGATTAAGCCCCCTTGGTGCTTGGATTCCTTGTGCACTATTCGTAAAGATTGAGGACCCCTCGTGCTGGGATTCCGTATACATCAATACCTTACAGTACTCTTAAGGACCATTAGTTACTTATGCATGACTCTTATAAGGATTGAGGACCATTTGTGCTGGGATCCGTATACATTACTCTTCAGGACCATTACTGATGAGATTCCGTATACATTACTCAAGGATTGAGGCTTTTGGGCTTCGGATTTTGGGGCTTCTTCTGTAGGGTTTGAAGGCGCCTCCAAGCTTCTGAAGCTTTGGGGTTTTGGGATTGGGGGTGTGGTGTTAGGGATTTGGGTTGGAACGGGGTTTCGGGTTTAGGAATTTGTTTGTTTTGTGACCTTGGGTTTGGGGATTAGGGTTGAGGGATGACGGTTTGGGGATTAGGGTTCAGGGGCTTCTTTCGCGTCGCGTACAGTCAGGACAGCAAGTGCGACCAAAAGCAAGAATTGCCTGGCTGCGCCGAAGTGTGAGCTCTGCCCCCTCACTCCCTATAAGGGACCGAGTATCCGGCTCTACCATAGTCTCAATCCGAACCTCCGCAAATTGCAGGCTCCATGGCAACCCCTTGAGCGCTCTAGACTTAAATCAGATTCTTCCCTGAACCCTAAACCCTAAATCCAAAACCCTAAAACCCTACGGTTGATGATAGAAATCCTGCATTACGTTAAGGACCCTAAACTACGGGAATCATGGAATATTCCTTATGATGAGTAATGCAGGACTCATATCAGCAACCGTAGTGGTGGCCTTCAGGTTCTGCAGGTAGGGCGCGGCCGGGCTTCCGCCCGAGAAATCCCGGCCTTCCCAACGCAAGGCCTGGCGGCTTTCAGGGTGCTCGGAGGGGTTCCTACGAGAGCTGTATATGGGTTACATTAAGGGTTACTGTAGAAGTGTTACAAGGGTTACTGTACAGATTGATGTAAGGGTTTGGGCTTGGGTTTACTTGGAGGATCATGGGACTTACTAAGTAAGGTTTTAAGTACCTTGATGGGAGTTACAATTAAATTTAACTATAGTTACCGTATTCATAACCCTAATTGCTAAGTCCCATGATCCTCTAAGTAGGGTTCTGTAAGACTTATAAGGGTCACTTTCTGGACGTCTGCTACTGTCAGGGTTACTACGTACCAACACGAGGGTTCTCGCAGGACCCGGAACGGATTGCAGGAAGTCGGGATGTCGGGTTTGTTCAAGGATATCCTATCCCACAGCCCTAAACCCGAAATGCCTTTAGAACCATAATGGAAATACCAGTTATTGATAAGCCCTTGGATCAAAGTGTTTTGCAACAAAGGCCAAAAATCTAAATAGCACGACGTCACTACATAAAACTCAAGAAAGCGACCCTGAACCCTAAACCCTAAACCCTAAGCCCAAGATAGCCCAAGAAAGCGTGGGGGGGAATCCGAGCTCGGGGCTTTGAAGCCTTTTCTCCGCCAGTCCTTCTCGAACGCCGCGCGGAACTCTTGTCAGCACCGCGTTCGGCAAGACAGGCAGAGGGCGCCACAGGCGCAGCTTGCAGCAAGTCCTAACTCCTCTCGTTGAAGGTAATGTAGGGGCCTTAATAATTAGAATAGAGTTTTGGGGTTCCCTTTAAGGGTTCCTTAAAGGGTTCTATAAGGGCTACTATAAGGGATTAGAGTTTCGGGGCCTTAATAATTATTTAGGCCCCGATATTAAACGAAGCAACTGGGAAGTCTTCGTGCTCTAGACTGCTCCGGCACCGGGAAGTCGGAATCAATGAGAGGAATTCCTACAACGGAGGCGGTTCCAGTCCAAATGCGACAAGTACACATCTCTGTTGAATCAAGGATGAGAGTCTTGCCAGCTGAGGCCTCATATTGTCACGGGCCTACACTCTTCTCGCCAGTCGCCTGGCTGTGCCTAGTCACCAGGCTCTCGGTCGTCGATATACTTCTTGGAACATCACTTCTACTGCTGTAGGCTTGTGCCCCACAGATTGTGCCGGACTTCGTAACACAAAGGCGCAAGGGGAAGGAACCGTTTTCAGTGCGCATTGCATGAGTGCCCTCGGAAAAGAAAGTCATGGACAGCTCACATCACAGTACAGCAGCGCTTTCCTGGAGAATCATCGGCTTCAGCACCTGCTATGTGACAGCGTTCAAGCAAAGGATGGACACAAGCCCGGCGTAGTAATGACGACGACACACAATTGATAGTGATCAGATTTGACGAGCAACAATAGCTGTTCAATAGCTACGGTATCCGCGACCACCATGATAGTCATGCCCACGGATTGTCTGTGGCCCAAACTGGGAAGCTTCGGCCAAGCAGCTCGTTACTGGCGGAGCTGGAGGTGCGGGACATTCGGAGTTGCCACCCTCCTCAGCCAAGCGCAGTGTTCACGAACTGGAAACCGTCGGAAACCAGACAATGATTGAACATACGTGTAGTTCCTGAGCATGAAATGATCTGTGACAAGTCGGCCCTTCTGCACATGCCACATCTTGATGCCAGTTTGAGCTTAGTTGTTCAGTATCCCTGGGGGACGAAGGTTAACCTTTTGGATGATATGGGGATTATAGCACCTCGAAAAACATTTCGGGTTACCTTATCTACTACGTGACGGCTTGGGGCTACGATTCCTGTTTCCCAAAGCTGTGCAGCAGGAGGATCCGGGCACTGTTGGGATTGCAGGTGCTCCCAGAGACTCCCAAAAATCCTTAAGAAAGGAATGGACCTTAAAATATAAGGGGGAATCTTATTCTGAGTTAAGGTGTATTTCTTAAGCTGAAGAATATTCCTTAAATCACAGCAAGGACTCGGACCCCCTATAAGTTAAGATATACTGCTTAACTAATGGGTGTGTTAGAGTCTCTGGGGCTGTTGACTGCGTCCAAGAGTCGGCCGACATGTGGAGGGTGATGACCTCAGCCGCCGACTCCTACGGCTAAGGGTCTAGGGTTTTAAGGTTTAGGGTTTAGGGTTTGGGGTTCAGGGTTTAGGGTTTAAGGTTTAGGGTTTAAGGTTTAGGCTTTAGGGTTCAGGGTTTAGGGTTTAATGTAGGGTTTAGGGTTTAGGGTCTTACTGCCTCATGGAAATCACTCCATCACGCCTGAAATTCACATATATTGTATGTTGTTTTATAGGCATTACATATTAAAAACGTATAGTCTATGTGGCAGGGTAGTGAAATGTTATATAACCATAAGGCCCTCGGTCGCTTCAGGGAACTTCAGCATTCGGGTGGGAAAAAGGTATCGGGAGATCGCGCGACCTTCCAACTGAATTCGATTTTGCGGCGGTTGAAGCCGGATGTGTAGGGTTTAGAGTTCAAGGGTTCGGGTGCAGGGTTTGAACCCTAGGGAGCCCGGGAAACAAAGGCCTCAGCATGTCCTCTTTGGACTACTCTTCCTAAACCCTAAACTCCAAACCCAAACCAATAGACCCTTTTTTAGAAGGAGCCCTTAATCATAAAGAAACACTTGTTTGAACCCTTATATAAGCGAACCTGGTTAAAGAACCCTTAGACAAGGGAGCCCTTTTCAATGTAGATGGGATCACAAGTCAATCTGATTTTTAAGGAGTATTCTTTAACCCTCAAACCTGTCCTACTTCGGACTCTGTATGGTGAATTCCTTCTTGTCAAAGACTGTAGTTTCTTTGGCGTCCAGGTATCCCAGAGTTAGGGTGTATATACATATATATATATATATATGTATGTCTGTATATATATACACACACACACATAGTGTCTATATATATATATATATCCTCCAGGTATACTGCGGTCCCCACGATGATTTCGGAAAAACCCTTCAAGAAAGCACAAATCTATGTATACACACCTTTTGATCACTCTGAGGTTCCTAAGATTTCAGGACAATACCCCCCCGCCCCTCTCCCCCCTCATCAAACAAACACCTAGACCACAAACCCTGAAAACCCTAAACCCTAAACCCTAAACCCTAAAGGGTCTTGTGGGGAGAGTCCCATGGACTGGAACTCCCCGAGCCCTCAGCGTAGAGGATCCTCTCAGAGCCCTACTTCCTCAACTTTGCAACCCCCGAACCCCAATAACTCGTAGTTATATCATTGTTCTTGTTTTTGCTATTGCTATTGCTATATACAACAAAGGGTACTTTACTATGTCACCGTATACTCTACTGCAGTAAATTCTGTTCTATCATTCATTATATCTTCCTCCAAAGAAAGCAAACCAAATCTGAGGCGGAGTGGCGCTGGGAGCGTCGGGTGGCGCCGGCTGAGGCCCAGATCCCTGCATTCGTCAATAGTACTTCCTGTTCTTCTACTTGGAGGATCATGGGACTTAGTAACTAGGGTTATAAATAAGGTAACTATAGTTAGGTTCAGTGTTTAGGGTTTAGGGGCTGCTTGGAGGATCATGGGACTTAGTAGCTAGGGTTATAAATGAGGTAACCATAATGATAACTCTAATTAGAATGCTTAGAACCTTACTTACTAAGTCCCATGAACCTCCAAGTATGTGGTGATAGAACAAACAACTCGTACCACCGTAGTAGCAGCACCACCAGCTGCAGCAGTATCGGTCTGGCAGTGCTACACACAGCCATGTTGATCAAAGAAGGAGTGGTGATGTCGACAAGGATGAGCATGATGATCGTAATGCGTCCAATCGTCACGATGGAAGAGAGAAGAGGAGCCAGTCGCATTAAGGCTTCCACAAACATGAACTTAGAACACTCGTTGCCTCGTCGGGCTTTAACCGTTCACACCCTGTGCCCCGAGAAACGATGGACCCTCCTTGAACCGTCAAGCCTGGAGGTTGAAGTTCCAGCTTTGTCACGCTTGTTGAACTAGGGTCGGATGCAAGCCCATCATGATCAATATATGATATGAATGACAAATATGCTATATTATATACATATCTATATGTACATATAATATATGATAGATCATATATTTCTTAACACAGAACATATCATACATAGACATATATATATATATATAATCGTATATATGATCAGTATAGTCTATGGTTTTTTACATGCCGTACATATTATGGGCTTTTTTGAGCTCTCTTCCAAGAGTCCCAAAACCCAACACCCTAAACCCTAAGCCCTAAACCCCAAGCCGTAAACCCCAA